CTTACTAGATTATGAATTATCATTATCATCAGAAAATAGTCTATCTTCATTTGAATTTAATGTATTACACATTACATAAATTATATGTTATTAATTATTGTTTTAAATTCATTAGAATGTTTAATTGAAAACTAATTAAGTAAGATAACAATAAAAAGTAATTTAAAGAAAATACAAAATATTTTGATAAACTATACATTAGTTTTGATTAATAAATGAAATCTAATTTGGAGTGCTTCAATTTAAGAAATTATTAGTAATGATTTATTTGATTCAAATAAAGATATTGGAGTAATTGTGCTAAATTTCTATTTCCATGATCTATTACTTTATAGATGGTGATCTTTGTATTAAATTTAGGACATAGAATACTAAAATAGTATTAAATTTAGAATATATTCAGTCAAAAATAAATATACTATCATAAATCATAATAATATTAGATATTGAATTAAAGTCCATTATTTTATATTATTTAAAATCTAATTCCTGATTTTCATCAATTATTCCCAAAGTGATTTTAATAGTATTTTTATATCAGGAACTAAAGTAGATATGCTTAATCTATCTCGATTCATTATTTTTAGGTTATTTGATTTTAAAAAATTGAAAAATTAATTTTTTGAATAATTTTCTATCAAAATTGTAATAAAAGAAAAAATTAGAAAGAGAATTAATGCAATTAGAGCTTAATATCATCAATAAGGTAGAAATTATATAAAAAATTATAACCAAAATAAAACTTCATTTTTATTTAACTAAATTCTATTAAAATAATGGTTTTATCTTAAAGGTCTATTAATTAATGATAAAAAATCACTTTTTAAAATTCAATAATTGATATATTCTATAAATTTATGATTTAAACAAGTATTGCTTATTTTAGATAAAATTTGCGAATATAAATCTAATTTCATAAAACTATCTACATGTAATTCAAAACTATCGTTTAAATATCTTTTTCGTTATAATTTATTAGATATTTTCCATATCCATAACAATGGATTTAGTTTTTTATAAAATTAAAAATATTTAAGTTATTAATATAATAGTAAGTATATGTTTATAATTATTTAAATAAAACACGGAAAATTATCATGTTTCACGTCTATTTATTAATACAGACAAACCTTCTAATGCTGTTTGTATATATTTAGTTTTGGTATCAATTAATTTAACGAATGGAATTAGGATGTAATATTTACAATCAAGGCTTACATTTCATTGAAGTTGAAGCTTATTATGAATTTTCATGAGTTTTTTAATTTATTTTTAATTATTTCAATCAATTGTTCAATCAATAGAATAGATAAAAACAAAAGATCAAGATTTTTTCATTTGTTTAAGTATAATGATTTGAGGAATATCCTTATAAATTGAAATACTATTTATTGAAATTTCAAATATTTTTAATGTAGATTAATTTTTAATTAAGTGGATATTTCAAACTTTAACATTTAAATGAGAAAATGTAATTTTCTAACTTTGTTAATAATTAAAATTTCTTCCAACGTAATAACACTTACTATTTTCAATTTTATAAAAACTAATGAAGCTTTTAAAAATGCAACTTTTAAATGATTCATTTAGATATTATGAACCAGGTTAAGTTTAATATTAATGTCATCTTTTAATTTATTTTAGGAATTTTAAGAAATTTTTGGAGCTCCGTCCAATTATTGAATTCAAATTGAAATAAAAAAAACATATGAATTGTAAAAAAAGATAAATTTATAGTTTTAGTTGAGAATATCATAAATATGAGAATAAAATGATGTATTTGAAATTTTCTGTGATGAATACATGAATATTATTCTTGATAGGTTTCGTTATTATCTTAAAGTATAATGAAAATCATAAGATTAAGCTTATTAGAATCAATTTATTAATTCTCATATTTTATTTTTCAATCATCTATAACCACAATCTAAGTACCAGATTAACGAGGATCAATTAAAAAACATGAATATATATAAATTATTCATTTAGATATATAGAGAAATTTCATCCATTATAATTTACAATAAATTTTTAGAATTTCAACACCTAAAATAAATCTCAGATGTAAATTTTTTTGGGTTATGATAATTAAATTCTATTAAGGTTGAATGATATATATTCAACTCATATACTCATTTTTCAGAGCTAATAAATGGCCTAAACTTTCACAATAGACATATGACCATTAATTGAATTACCCAGAGATTTAATCCTAATTTTTTATACAATTCGTTCGGAAAATTTTATTTATACCACTCCTTAAGCAAAACCTTCATATACTTTTACCTCATCGCAGTAAACTTAAAAATTATGAATTCTAGTGTCATAATCCCAAAATCGAATACGTATAGTGTTAATCTAATACGCCTATGTTGATGGAAAAATCATAAATTCATCGCGATCACATCTAGCATGACCAAAATAAAATAAATTATCTTATGAAAAGTAAAGATTGTTTTTTAAAGGACTTTTTAAATCTCCATTACCATAAAAATAAATTTAGCGAGCATTCTCTAGCAAACCACCATTTTATTCTGATAGTACATCCCTGTAATGACCTCTTATAAATGATCTGGAAGTATATCCTTAACAAATATATGTTAAAGAAAAATCAAATACATTTAAGAAAATAAAGAGGATCAAAGTATTCATTAAATAAAATATATATAATAAAATTTGACTTTACGTTAGGATAACATTTATAAAAAAATATGGAAGTATTGTTTCAATTGACAAATTCATTTATCCCAACTTAGCACTTTTTCATTACTTCTGATAACTTTTTATATATTTTTATTAAATTAAATCAATTAATAGGCTGATGTATTACTATACAACAATCTTTTGATTTTTAAACTAAACCTACATTCAATTTTATAATAAGAAAACTAGGAAATTATATAATATGTAATAATACGCCAGGCTAATAACTTATATAATTATAACAATTATATTAGTTATATATTTAAAATAAGATTAAAAAATTATACACATTTCAGAATTCTTAAAAGAATTTATCTTTAAATCAATGAAATCAAAAGAAATCTTATTAGTAATTATCAATAGGAATTCAATGTTATAAACTAAAGTTTATTATTGGGCTTAAAAATTTATAATCCACTTA